TTTTTTTTGTCTTTTTGAGACAGGGTCTCACTATGCAGTTCAGGCTGGCCGTGAACTCACTTTGTAGCCCAGGCTGGTCTCAGACTCATGATGATCCTCCTGCCTCAGCCTCCCAAGTGCTGGGATTACAAGCGTGCACCACCATACCTGGCTCCTCTGAATTATTTCTAAAAAAGAGAAAAAGAACAACTATCAAAAAGCCAAAGTTGGGATGGATATGAATCTTAGCCTTTCCATATATATATATATATATTTTTTTTCCTCTACTTTCTTTATTTTAGAAAAGACCAATAAACTAAATATGTTCCCAGCATACATTCTGGTGTTAAAGTACATTTACCTTTCCTGAAATAGGAAGTAAAATTTGTACCCACAGGTAGCAGCTGGTTTTAGGATTAGGATCAAAGTTGGGTGGTAGTTGAATGTTGTTGTTATAAGCATTTTACAAACTATAGTGAGCTCTGGGGAACCAACACTAGCCACATTCACAGAGACTCATGCTGCCCAATGCCTATTTCTTTCTTTTAGATTGAGAGATACAATTTTGGAGGGACACTAGTATTGTGATTAATAACACAAATTGGGAGTTGAATTTGAGTTGGAATCCTGGTTCCATTATTTACTGTCTTTGTTACATAATTTTTTTTTTCACCTTTTTGAGAGACAGGGTCTCATTATATAGTTCAGGCTGGGTTTGAGCTCACTTTGTAGCCCACGCTGACCTCGAACTCGCAACAATCCTCCTGCCTCAGCCTCCTGAGTGCTGGGGTTACAGGTGTGTGCCAACACACCTGGTTGTTACCTAATACTTCTGAATCTCTACTTTTGCTCTTGTGAATATTAAGTGAAATAAAGTGAACTTCTGGGTAAGAGAGTTTGCTTGTAAAAAATATAAAATAAGTATTAGCAGCGATGGTGATGACTACTAGAGCTCTGCTCTTTAAGGTAACGGTTCCAATATCAGTGAGCCAGAGAGAATAAATTAATAATTCAGAAAATAAATTAATAATGAACTTGGGGAAAGTATGGAACCAGCAAAAATTATCTTGTATAAAAGACAGTGTTATTTAGTTGCCTTTGGTTTTTATTTCTTTAGTCGTTATTTAGATGTGTTATGAGAAAAACAATTAACATTTTATAATTCAGTTTTCTCACCTACCAGATAATTTCATAGGGACCATCCTGGATATTCCATGAGAAAACTTAAAATAGTATCTGATGCCTAGTAGGAGCTCAATAATACTTAGCTATTGTTGTTATTAATACTTTACACAAGCCATAGAAGATCCAGGAACTTGTCCATTTCAGTTTTAGTTGGTAATGTTTATTCTTTAAACCAACAGTTGGAACACATGACTGGACCTAAATAATGTGTTAAATATTTACAAGTGGGACTAATGTAGAAAAACTGGAACATATAATTTTTGTTGTTGTTGTTGTTGTTTGTCTTTTTGAGACAGGGTCTCGCTATGCAGTTCAGGCTGGCCTTGAGCTCATTTTATAGCCCAGGCTGGTCTTGAACTCAGCAGCGATCCTCCTGCCTCATCCTCCTGAGTGCTGGGATTACAGCCATGCACCACCACCCCTGACTTGAAATATATAATTCTTATAACTACAGTGTATACCTGTACCCAGCAAACATAGCATCTCTTCTCTGTGCATTTTTCCTACCTGAAGCCTTTACTTCAAATGTTTTCAAATGATTGCTCTTTGAATTATCAGTGGAGCTTTTTTTTTTTTTGGTTTTTCTCCGGTACCGGGAACTGAACTCACGACCTTGCGCTTGCCAGGCAGGCGCTTTTGCCGCTGAGCTAAATCCCCAGCCCCCAGTGGAGCTTTTTTATCAAATAATATCTCATAAGATACCTTTCTATGAAAGTAATGTTATATCGGCTGGACTGAGGTCACAGGATGAAATCTATGGCTCCTGGAAACAGTTGGAAAACCTTATTTCTCACTGGTGGTAATATAGTCGCTTGAGTAGGTAACAATTTTCTTCATAATGGTTGTGCATTTTTATTGGTACACTACTTTAGATTTGATAGATATTTTTGGGAAACACTTTAGTTTTGTCATCAATACAAGTCAGATCTTGAGGTTACTAATACAGATGGTTGCTTCAGACAGTTAATACTTATTATTTTAGCTTCCTCTACAGAAGGTGACTTTTTATTTTGCCTTTCTGCCAAATCAGGTTATACCATATTTTGAGTCCAAATTTCCTCATGAACTTGCTTTATCAGCAGATCATGAGTGTACTTGAAATGTTTTTCTCTCCAACTCTGCTGGGGAATAATTTATACAAAAGCAATGTCACATAGTTAAACAGCACAGCTGTATACATCTGTGATATCATCACCATAATTAATAGAAAATTTACATTATCCCCAAAGATTTTTACTCCTTCTTTGCAATCCACCCTTTCCTCCAGCCCTGGTTCCAGGAAATTATTGATTTGCTTTGCGTCATTATAGGTTAGATTTCATATAAATGGAATCAGATTACAGTATATGTATTTTGTCTCTGGCTTCTTCAGTTCAAACATAATGATTTTGAGACTTATCCATGTTGAGGCTTGTGTGGTTCCTTCTTAGTGGTATTTCCTTGTATAAATGTACCACAATTTGTTTCTCCACTCGCTTGATGGACAGAGTTTCTTCCAGAATGGGGCTAATATGAAAAGATACTGTTGTGAACATTTGTGTTGTGGTCTTTGTGTGAGCATGTTTTAAGTTCTTGAACATTATACATGCATTGGGGGTGGGATACTGTGAATTGAACTGGGAATTTGTACTAACGTACATTCCAGCCCTTTGTATTTTGACACAGGATCTTGCTAAATTGCCTAGGCTGGCTTCAAAGTTGCCTCCTGAGATTATAGGTGTACACCTCTACAGTATTTAATTTTTTAACAAATATTTTGTTTTAGCTGGGTGTGGTGGCGCACGCCTGTAATTCCCACACTCAGGAGGCTGAGGCAGGAGGATTGCTGTGAGTTCCAGGCCAGCCTGGGCTACAAAGTGAGCTCAAGGCCAGTCTGAACTTCATAGCAAGACCCTGTCTCAAAAAGACAAAAAAAAAAAAAAAAAAAAAAAAAAAAAAAAAAAAAAAAAAAAAAAAAAAAAAAAAAAGAAGAAGAAGAAGAAGAAAAGAAATAAATATTTTGTTTTATTTTGTAACCAGTCACACACTCACCTTCTCAGGTATAAACTACTAAATTTGCAGGTTTCTGCAAGTGGAAAATAGAGAGAAACCCTTCTCTTTCCCCTCTGGTCCACCTAGTTTTATATTTACTTTCTCATCCAATTCTTTTGCATTCTTAATTTAAAATTTGTCCTTTTATTCCTCCAGGCCTACTGCTGCCATCCCAGGGGTGCCTGGGTGCCCATTCTGTATCAAGTACTGTGCTAAGTGCTAAGGTGGCACACGGGTTGGAGTGAAAAGGCAGCAAAACAGGGACCAGTCTGCGCCCTGGACGGAGCTGGGCACACAGCGCTGGATCATGCTTCAGACAAAGTTTGTGAGAACTCTTGGAGCTGTTTTCCACTCAATTCTTCAGACTCACAGAAGATACAGCCCACCTTTGTTTGAGCGTAGGCTTTAGTTAGTTATTTGTTTTAAGCAGGTGTGACTGTTAAAACAAGAGGAAGTATTATGTGTAATCTCAAATGGTGCGCAGGTAGGAGAGAGAAGTTTTTTCTCTTCCTTCCTTTTCACCTGTGATTTTCAAAGCGTGGTACCCCGACGACGTGGCACCCCTGAGAACACAGCACAAGTGCACTCTCGCACCTCACTCCAGACCTCCTGAATCTGACACTCCGGATGTGGGATCTATTTTGACAAGCCCTCCGGGCGATTCCAACCCACACCTAAATTTGAAGACCGAGGGTGTAGATGGTCATCTGAAAGCTTGGTGAACTGTGGACGGCGGGGATAACGTTGCCATAGCACCCATCCGTCTCTCCTCGGCGTCTCTCTGCTCGGAGCCTTCCAGGGAACGCGGCCAAAACCCGGAAAGTGGATTCCGACTCTGCGGCCGGGGCGCAGCCCGGGCATGCGCAGTGGCGCGAGCGCGGCGGCGGGGCGAGCGCGGGGACGCGGCTGCAGAGCAGCGAGCGGTGCCTGGATCCGGGTCCGGAGCGCAGGGCCGCCGCAGCAGGTACCGGGCGAGGGCATGCGGGAGCGCAGCCCGAAGGGAAGGCTGGAGGGACAGAGGGATAGCAAAGCTTTGCTTCGGGGTGCGGGCGGCGGGGGACAGCGTCCAGCCCCTAGCCGGGCGTCCCCGGAGTCCGGCGCGGGCCCGCGGTGTGAGGTCGCGGTCGGCTCCGCCCGAGCGGCGTGCGCGGGGATCGCTGCTTTATGATCGCGGCTCGAGGCCAGGCGTTTTGCGAAGTTACCTGTTTCAACTTTTGTGGCTGCTGGTGAGGCTTTCTGCCCCGGTCTGTTCGGTTTCAATTCTGTGACTTACTTGTCGTTGGCCTTTCGGTGCAGAGGGAGGATCAATAAGACCAGAGTGAAATCGCATCCGTGCTCGCTGGGTTCGCTGCCTTTCCTGGAGCAGAGGGAGTTCTGGATGCGGCATAAGAAATGTCAAGTTTCAGCGAATTGCAGCGCCAAAAACTTTCCGCGTTTTGGCTGCATTTTCTAATAGACTTTATCGAAAAGTTTTTTTTTTTTTTTTTTAAATAAATTCACCCTTATCTTTTAACTTTACTGTCCCCCCCCCCCCCCGCTTCCTTTGGTACTTTTAAAAGAGATCTTTTAGATGAGTATCAGGGCTCTCTCCTTTACCCCTTTTTTTACTGTGTCGCATGTTGTGGTTTATATGGACATAATTTACCACGGGGCTGCGGTCTTGGATACAGGTGTAAAAGGCGAAGGTTGTACTGCACAAATTTCCTGGAGAAGCTGTGAACAAACCATAAACAAAATGTCAGACCGGGAGGAGCATATTGAGCTTCGTGTAGGTACCACAGCCCCCTGCCCCTTGTGATCGGCTCCTCTTACTTTAAATTTCGTAGGCAAGTGTAAAATTTGTGATGGGGAAAGCATACCTAATAATAGTAAATTTAGGAAAAAGAACATTCTTAGTTCAGGAGCAGAAACGCATAGAGAGGGAATACCCGCTCCCCCGCCCCCCATGTCCCCATGATGAATGTTTTAATGGCAGAAATAATACACGGTTGGTCCAGTTTGGGGCTGTAGGGACCTTTGAGGTCAGCCAGTTCAGCTGCGTCAGTTTACAAATGAGAAAACTGAGACCAGGGAGGTTAGATGACTTGCTGCAGCTGCCCAGACCCCTCCCCTGCAGAGCTGGGCCTGGGAACTGGGTTTTCTGATTTCAGGGATCTTTTTATCCACCCCGCCGCCCGATACTCTTCTCACCATTTGGTTAGATCATTGAACTTTGTCTCTTTCACTTTATCTTTTGTAGTCTACTTAAAGCAGAAAAGTCCCTGTTTCTTTTGCTTTGCTTCTTTCAAAGAGGACCTGGTCACTCAAACCCTACCTGCCAGTTCGCTGGTCTTGAAACCAAATCACCCTCCTTCCTTGGCTGGAACGCTTGTTTGCTTCTCTCTCTGTTGAAGTCCTGCGGGTGCTGCAAAGTTTAACATGCTCAAGCGTGACTTCTTCCCGGAAACCCTCCTTGACCGCTGCAGTGGGAAGCCGCTCGTCCTCTGTACAAGTCATTACTGTTGTATGTGCAGCTGGTGTCCGCTTTGTGAATAGCATCCTCACGTGTATTTTAGCACATGTTCCCCTGACTGGAAAATTGTCAGGTTGCATAAATTCTTGAAGGTTAAAGCGCATGACTTAAACGTTCCACCCCAGTACTAACTACAAAATGTGCTCTCGGCGACTTTGTGGGAGGGAAGGGAATAGGGACGGATAGTTTTGTAAGGGGGTTTGAGTCCTGTAAGAAGAGGGGGCTGTCTGACGGTTGAACCACCCCGCCAAACGGGGTGGTTCCGTGAGTCTCATGTTTTGATAGGGAGACAGGGGTAACAACAGAAATAGGGGACAGTTATCCAGGGCATGGCTTAAGCATGCAACTCATAAATGCAGAGTGCGAACACAGATTTAAAAAAATGATGTCGAAGAAGAAGCGTTTAGGGAAAAAACAGATGGAGAGGAGAAAAGAGATGTTGAAATCACTTAGGCTCAGGCTTGGCGCGTAGGGATGGGTTTATAATATTAATTATGTAAGCACCTTGAGCTGGGAGATTACCTCTTCTTGGTTTGTTTTAGTGGTTGGTGTTACTGTCTCATTCCCCATTCTAGATGATAAGCTTTTGAGGGAGGATCTTTACACTGATCCTTACAGTGTCAGGCACCTTGCTTTACATTATCACACACTCAGTGGTTACTGTATGAAAGAAGGAATTTTTTTTTCTTTTTTTTTGAGACAGGGTCTCACTATGCAGCTCAGACTGGCTTGAGCTCACTTTGTAGCCCAGGCTGGCCTCCAACTTGCAACGATCCTCCTACCTCAGCCGCCTGAGTGCTGAGATTACAGGCATGCACCACCTCGCCTGGCCGAAAGAAGGAATTTTGGCTTGAGGAAGGCAGGCAGTTAGGATCCTAGCGTGATCCAGACCATCCCCTTCTTGTAGAGGCACGGAGATATGCTTAACTAAGCTGGTTAGTGGCTTAGGCAGAGACTCTGCTCAAGTTTCTTCATTGTTCGACTCATTAACCTTTACTGTTCAGTGTTATTGGTCCCGAGATTAATTTGAGTTGGCAGCAGGATACTGCAGTTCAAAAGGTCCTGTGCATTGAGAGCCCTCAGAGAGCAGTGTAAAGGGGAAAATTAGGTGGCTGATGAGAGAACGTCTTTGTCACTGTAGGAGTTGAGATGCAAAGAATGGCAAATGCAAACTTGAGTCTACAGGGGCTGGCACATGCATGTGAGCGCGAGTACAAGGGTATGTGGTTGGTGACCTGGGAATCTGCAGCAGGGAGAACTGAGGAAGAGTCTGGAAAAGTCATTGAGAGCTTAGCTTATCAGATGCAGAAGATACACATCGACCCAAAGTCCTTGGGCGGGGAGTATATTCAGGACATTCTGCATTATTGCAAGGTGATGAGCCCTGGATTGCAGAGAGCAGTACTGAAGGGCGATGCTTTAACTCAGGAGTGAGGGAGTAAGAGTGGAAGGAGGGAGATGAGCATGGTGGCGCACGCCTGTAATCCCAGCACTCAGGAGGCTGAGGCAGGAAGATCTTTGGGAGTTCAAGATCAGCCTGGGCTACAAAGTGAGCTCAAGGCTGGCCTGAGCTGCATAGCGAGACCCTGTCTCAACAACAACAATAAAAAAGAACGGTGGGAGGGAATTGTGATCCTAGGAAAACAAGACAGTAGGCAGTGCTCTGACCCCCAAACTCTAGTGTTTTGGAATAGTTGTTGATTTGGAACAGATGTTGCAAGTAGGCATTTTGCAGATTAAAAAATAGCACTCAGCATGGAGAGAGCTGTTGATGGCACGTCCTTCCAGTTGACACACCTGATTGACCACCCTCTTCATTTGTCACAGGCAGAAAGTGTTAGAGAGAGATAACTTTTGAGGGACTGGACTGAAAGAGTATGACATGGTTAGCAGTAGGGAAAGGGAGGGCTGGCCTGATTAATGAGAGATTATCTTTTTAAAATCCTGACATTGGTGGAAGTTGATTAGACAAATGCAAAGTCAGGCAATGTGTTGAAATTATTGTCTCATATACGGTACTTTAAAAAGTGTCCAGAAGTTAAACTGAGTGTAGTGGTACATGCCTATAATCCTAGCACTTGGGAGGCTGAGGCAGGAGGATCACTGCCAGTTTGTGGTCATCCGGGTTACGCAGTGAATTCAAGGCGAGTTTGAACTACAGAATAAGACCTTGTCTCAAAAAAAAAAAAAAGTTCAGATTTTAAACACTTGTATAAAATGGTGATGTTATCAGAAGCGGGGCATAGTGGCACATGCCTGTAATCCCAGCACTCGGGAGGCTGAGGCAGGAGGATTGTCCAAAGTTTGAGATCAGCCTGGGCTACAGAGTGAGCTCAAGGCCAGCCTGAACTGCATGGTGAGACCCTGTCTCAAAAAGACAAAAAAAAAAAAAAAAAAGAGAAAGAAGATGATTTTATAGAATTTTCCCAATAAGTGAAAACAGTAATACTATATTTGTAATTAGTTTTATGGAATGTTTTCCATCGATCAGACACTATTAAACATTTTTACAAGCAACGAGTCATTTCATCTTTATAAACCAACCTATGAAGTAGGTGCAATCATTATCCGCATCTTCTAGATGAGAACACTGAAGCTTAGGAGATAAAATCATCTGAGGTCAAATGGTTGACGTGTTTGAGCTGAGATTTGACCTTAGGCTTGCCTGACTTCAGGCCCTGAGAGCTCAGATAATCAAATATCTTTATCTGGGTCACTCTAACAGATGCTTAAAGTGACTATAAGTTTTAGCTGGTGAAATTTCCAACATTCTGTGAGGCAGACTTTAATCTGAGAAGCAAAACAACAGTAATAACCAGTTCTTGGAAAATTCCAGTGAAGTCTTTACCTCCTTTTCTTTTGAAGCATTCCCAGCAACAGAGGTAGCAGTCTTTTCTCCAGGAATACCATTAAGCAATTTCTGCTCTGCCCTACACTCTCTCAGGGTGGAGCTGCGTTAGGTGCAGCGTGGGTTGGTGGTGATCAGTGAGGTGCTTCAGGATTTGGGGTGGGAAGCTCACCTTGTGCGGGATCATGGGATTTTACAGGTTAGTGAGGACATTTTTCCCCCTGAGGTGTTGTGATTCTTTGCTGGAAGCTCCTGGAATATCCGTGAGTTCTGAACCCTGAACTGTGGTCACAACCCCCCAGGGAGGATCCACACCTGAACACATTCTCCAAGAATTCTTAAGATTAGAGAATTGCAAGTCATTGTGGTCTGGTTGCAGGTAGGCACAGATATTTCAGGGACAGTGACAGCTCAGAGACAAATAATTCAGAGGTTTTTCCAGCAAGTCCTAGATTTGAACACTGGATTGATCCATCAAGGGGGCTGTGCGAAAATGTGCTCCCCTCTTCCTCCTGCTGGGTGTAATTACACAGGGAGCCCGCTCTCTTTGAAGTCTCAAAAAGATGAGTATGGGGCTGGGGATTTAGCTCAGCGGCACAGCACCTCCCTGGCAAGCGCGAGGTCGTGAGTTCGATTCCCGGTACCGGGGGGAAAAAAAAAATGAGTATGTGCCTTCCTCTTTTGTGTTGCCTGAGTTCTTCACCTTGCTTGGTTCTGCTTCGCCTTCCCCTGAGTGGGTCTGCATGTTTGCATGTTCCCAAGGCCTGTGCTCTGGATCTGAAAGGAAGGACCAGGGGCTTCTGGCCTCTACATTCCTTGTTTCAACAGCCAAAACTCAGTACGCTTTCCAGTTCCTAATCAACATTTCACGCTGGGGGCAGATAAAAATCAAGGAGAGAGAGGCCTTTGTGCTGTGTACAGCTTTATTTTTTTTCATTTTTTATTTTTTTTGTCTTTTTGAGAGGGTCTCGCTATGTAGTTCAGGCTGGCCTTGAGTGCACTTTGTAGCCCAGGCTGGCCTCAAACTCGCAACAATCCTCCTGCCTCAGCCTCCTGAGTGTTGGGATTACAAGCATGTGCCACCATGCCCAGCCAGCTTTATTAGTTATAAAAGTTTTTTATTGTGTGTGTAGCGCAGGCTGGCTTTGAACTCATTGTGGTCCTCCTGCCTCAGCCTCCCAAGGGCTGAGATTACAGGCATGTGCTGCCATGCCTGACTAAAACATGCTTAATTTTCTTGCTAGAAACTTTACTACAATATAAGGTCACATGGGATGTGAGGCGATGCTCTCTTTGATCATCTTAGTTCTTTTCATACTGCTGTGTCTGAAAGTGCATATTTGCCAGTGTGTGTGTGTGTGTGTGTGTGTGTGTGTGTAAAACGTGTAGCTTGGCTTCTGAAAAAGCAAGTTGTTTTTTACTATATTGGGGGCACAAAAAGAACGAGTAGATGATTGGCAGAATTTTTTTTTATTCTTTAAAACATTTGTTTTTCCAGAAAATATTTTCTGGGAGAGCTAGAGATAGTTTTCATGAAGTGCACTTGTGAGCCATGTGTGGTGGTATACTCCTGTAATCCCAGCACTCAGGAAACTGAGGCAGGAGGCTCTCTGAGTTCCAGGCCAGCCTGGATTACATAGTATGTTCCAGAGCAGCCTAAACTCCATAGTGAGACCCTGTTGCAAGCAAGCAAACAAGAAAGCAAGCAAGCAGGCAAACAAACAAACAAGTTTATTGTGAAGTGGATTTTAAACTTTATAACTGAGTTTTTCTGACTGAATTTTTTGAGCCATTCACAGTTGTAAAGCTACAAGAATATTTGGATGATAACACATGTCACACCATCATGCCTCCTTCAAAAGATCCAAGCTGACCACAAATAAAGCATGAGAAATTGTCTTTTTGGTATTAAGGTGGATTATACCTTAGTAAGACAGGGGAAGGTGTGTATGGGGGCTTCTTAATAATAAAAAGCCGAGGGTTTGAAGTATGGTTGATTTAAAATACTGAAGGAAGCCAGATTTACACTATTATTGGGCAGCACAATAAAATTGTTAAAAGACCCAGTTTCTTTTCTTTCTTTTTTTTTTTTTCCGTACCAGGAAAGGAACTCAAGACCTTGCGCTTGTAAGGCAGGTGCTGTGCCACTGAGCTACATCTTTGACCCAAGATCCAGTTTCAGAGAGTAACTTTTTTTAACAATAAAAATTGACAATAATTTGTTCCACTTTTTGGAGAATCAAGAAGTAAGAGATTTTAATGGTACTGTCAAAGTAGAATTTGTGTTAAATTGGAGCTTAAGACATTGGCACAGTGTAGAAAGATCAGCATGTTAATT